TAACTCATAACTGAATTTGGACAAAATCGGTATAAAATACGTAATAAAATAATTGAAGAATATTTTGCGTACTAATCGAACTGTGTCTTGCCGTAAAGTGGATCTTGAGATTTTCGTAAAACACTGATAGGCTATAAATGTGAACTGTAGTGTCATCAAAGCACGCATTATCAGAGAGAGAATGTTATCCACCAATGTCAAGCAAAAAATTGCCGTATGCCAGTTACATGTTTACAGCGACATCTTTATCCAGAATTACGAAATGTGTATCTTAGATTACGTGACAGATTACGTTCTACGAATTCCCTTTGGTGTTTTTGTTGTTGATAACTTTGCAGCCTTCTTTCACTTTGTGTGTTCCGTAACGTTACACGTGTATATTTTAAGTTCCTGTCAAAGAATTCAAATAAACATTTTAATTTTCTCTTATAACTTTCGTAAAATATTGTTAATATTATGACTGCTGGAGAAATTAAATGTCGACATTTAACTGAAAAACAAAAATATGTTTTGTTATTATTAACCCTAAAAAGGGTTTATTTTGAATGTGGTAATGATATCGATTGTGGTCCTTGGGGTTGAAATTTCTTGGCCAGCAGATGTAAGTTCCTGAAGAACAAAATTTCATGGCGTGGGTTAGTTATGTAACTGCCTACAAAATATTTGAATCCAGTTGTTTGTACACGCGTCATGGTAACTAACACACATTTGTTTACCGTAAGTACCCATGCCAAATGATACGGCATTGTGTACGAAGTTTCGATGTAATCTTTTCTGTTTTTCTAGAGTTTTCCATAGTTCTGTCCATGATCAAAGCCCGTAACAAGGACTGTTAGTTTTCTCTGAGTTTTAGCTTTGATATGTTACGTTCATACAGAATCAAATGGCCGTGAAATCGGACTAAGTTGGCACTTGTTTTAAATCAGCGTGTTCTCACTGACGGTGAAGGAAAGAAAGCTAATTTTGTTACTAAGGTTTAACACTAAGTGCCAAGAGCCAGCAGCACAGTCCACCATTGCTTTATTTACAGGATTATAAACACGAATCATACGTGTGCTTTGTCAATTTCTGAAAAAAAGTAATACCAACTATATTTTGATATGACAGAATTTTCTGACAGACTAGATTATTTTACCTGATGACGCAAATAAATGTTACATAAGCATTTGTTTTATGACTCCAGAAACTATCCGCCTTCCCTGTGGAAAACCCTGAAATAAATTGGCTCTGGGTTCAAGGAATATGCCTTTGTTACGTGAGATTTTTCTCACAGTTGACTAGTTAAAAGTGTGACACCTAATTTCCTGCTCAGTGTTTAGAACCTTCAGGGGATTCGATCCCGAGGATGTTAGGGATATTTAGTAGGTGGCGTTAACTGGTTTCAGTACCTGCCAAATATCTTGATTAAAATCCTACCTATAAAATATAATTAGAATATGATAATTAAGACAACACAAGGATAAGTTTGACTTGTGTCTAAACACGCTATAACGACGTACTGAGGAGTGAAGGAAAACCTCTACATCTCTTTACGTCACAGCTAGATTGAAACGAACCTTTTAAAGCCCAGTGGCAACTATATTTACCACCTGTTTTAGCGATAACAAATTACTATGTATTGTTCCGTATAGTGTATTTATGGATATATTAACATTCTCAGAACAAACAGCAATTATTTTCTTAAATATCATTAGCGAATTGATCTTTATAATGGTGTAGTGTGTTTTCTTTTAGGTAAGAACTGAATCTTTATAGTGTACAGACATATAATTTAGAAGCGATTCGGCTTTAAGTTGTTAACGGCCAAGTTCGTTCCAAGACCCGGGGAAAGAGACACCTGTACCCTTTAGTTATTCTCGACGCGGTGGTGACGATTAAAATTCCAGACCCTGCAGGGAAATCGAACTCCAGACGCCCAGGACGAAGTCCATAAATTTTATTAACAGCTGTCCCACCGTGGATTTTATATAAATTGTTGTTTTTAAATTGTGTGATGAGGAGACTAGTATTTAGAATAGCTACATGGTACATGTACTCATTTATTTAATACAGCGACGTTGATTGTGTGGGAGTCATCTTGGGGGAGAATACGTTTCTGATCAACAGACTGCAGACGATAACAGGGAGTCCAATCAAGGCCTCCAGAATACGAAAACGTGTTACTCGTGTGGTAAAGAGTATTAATTTTTCTGTGATGCGTTAAAGAGGAAATTTCTGAATTGAATTTTCGTCAAGTGAGAAACTATGTTGTATTCTCGTCCTGATAAAAGCTGGTGCTGTTCTTTAGGTTAATTTGCTGCCCACATCAGTGCAACAGCTGTCTCTGTCAGTCTATATAAACCGAGTGACTGTTCACGTGTCAAACGCTGGATGAGCTGGCTTTTTCACTTTTTATTATAAACTTCACCGAGGACTCTAATGATATATGAAATGCCACAGAAGTTTAGTGAAGTTTGTTTCAGTTTTCTTTACATCTCACGAGAAGGCAGCACAGTCTCTTTTATTGTGTACTGGAGCAAACTGGGTGAAGGCGACTTTTCAAACCCCATATAAATAAACAGGAAAGTACTTTACAAAATTTATACCTAAATGTTTAATGTAAATTTGTAACTACGATCTCTTGCAGATCGAACAAAGGAGTCGATAGACGTTTGTTTTTTTGTTGTCCTGTGTAGGTAGAGACCTTGTAGGCTTAATGCTTTCTTTCACGTTCGAAAGATTTATACTTTTCTTCTGAGGTAGGATCTAGAGTACCTTATCTAGGCCAAAAGGGATACCTCCTTAGGTTCATTAAAATAATTATGGGGGAAATGATTTAAAAGTGAAACTGAAGGTTCATGGGGTGTCAACATCGTTGTTCACTGTACACGCTTGTATGACGTCATAACTCGCAAAAGATCATCACGTATGAAAAATGAAATTTATGTTCGTCGATTTCTAGGAGAAGTGTGGAAATTTTATTTTCAAGACCGCGTACTTGATGAAACACAAAATGTTTACGTCATGAATGGACCAGATGAACCCAGCTGTAAGAATCTGCGTTCTAAAATTCAGTGCTTTTTCCCATAAACAAATCGCAGACGTAGGTTTCATGTTGATCGTGTTCATTCTATTGACCGATTGGTTTCCAAGATCGGGCCTCTTTCTGCTTGGGGTTAATGACGTCAGAGATACGACGATAATGAACTGTTGATGAGGGAACAGACAGTCAGCGTCTTGACATTATTTGTTGCAAAGACGCCAGTCTTCAGATAGCGTCCGTTTGTTACATAAACTTTCTTGTTTCTAGGGGCGAAATTAAGGGCTGTGTAAGAAAAACGTTTAATGTAAAGTGATTAAAATATAGTATTTCGCTCTTGGGGGATTTAATACATATCAGTGGCCCAATATTTGATTTCGTATTCTTAAACAGGGAATTCCACTGACAACAGATGTCTGTCGCACTAAATCAGACACTGTGTAAAGTATTCATTTTGTGGGAGGACGACTGATCCTCAGATTTAAATATATTGAATCCTGTGCTTCGAAGTAGACTACTTTATCAAGGAATACGATAATGCCGATGACCTTGCTATCATCTGTGGAAATTGTCTAGAGTTTAACAAACATAAATTACGTTAACGTATCTAGGATGTCCTACTCAATCTTGGGGGTCTCGTGGGACTGGATACCCCAAAAACCAGTATTCGTGTTGAAGGTCTTTGTATGTTTATGTTTAGGAGGTTTGGTAATAATACGACTACACCAGTTTAATAAATTACACAAGAAATCTCCGCAAGATGGCAATTCTGACCGGAAAGTTGACGGTGTATGAAATTATATATGATACAGTATCGATGAATTTTCATACATAGCCAGCATCATAAATTTCTGCTTGTAGTTCAGCTAAGTAACAAGCCAACAACTAACAGGGAGCAAAAACTCTCTTTCAGAAGCTAATAAATAGTCACACAGCTAGTCAACAAATTCCATCTCTTCTGTGGAACCCAGAACTTTAGTACCTAGTTCACAAGAATTCGTCACTGGTGCCACTACGCCACTCTCCAAGCACGCGTTTTCCATCTGGTTTTCCGAATAACATTTTATACGCACTTTCTCTTCGGCGTGGGTGCTGTGTGTCCCGCCGACCACAACCTTCTTGATTGATCTACCAATTTAATATTTTATGAAGATGTGTATTATACACGTTTCTCGAAACTTTTGTTCTCTTTTCGTTCCAAATACTTTCAACCCACTGTTTTGCTGTTGGTTGAGATTCTCAGTGTTAGGAGGTCCTCGTAATAGTAGGTGCATAGCCACAAGGAACCTTTTATACAGACAGTTCTTCGTAACTGTGGACGTGCAGCTATTAGAATTAATTTGAATTACGACTTGTTCTTCCCCGCTTCTGTGTCTACCTCTCTCAGTATCTCCCCCTTCCAAACTTTACTTTGTAGTCCGTGTGTTTCCTTCCCCACCTCATTTCGTAGAAACATGGTTTTTTTTCTTTTGCATGATGTTGCGCGCCGTAATATTCAGTCACGGGAAATTTACTGTTTTCCTACAACGCTATTCGTTCAGATAAATCGTTCCAACCAATGACGATAACGTGTCCCTCTGACGTCACGGCCTTAGTTTAAAACGGCAAGCAGTCAGTAGCGGCGTTTTAGAAGTGCGCTCAGATCGGGTGCGCGTGTGTTCAAGAGGGCAGTGCGTTGCTCCGATAAGGAGTTTTGTGCAGAAAGTTGTGTTGTTGCTGTGTTTAATATGCCCAGTAAAATACGTTAAAAGAATCTCAGAAGGTGCATTGTATACGTAACAACAATCAAACTAGTCGTTTATTAACAAGTAAAGTCATACCAGTGCAATATCACTGAACACAGTGAAAGTTCCTAGAACAGTTAACCAAAGCTTTGAAGTTTTGAACTTCATTACCTAATTTCTACCTCATAAACGCTTTGCCAAAGACTGAAAATGGTGGGTACAAATGGTACAATGATCGCTATTCGAATGTTCCGCAGCAAATTGAGGAAGAGGGACGAGAACAGTGTTCGGCAGGATCACGCGATATTGCATTCTGCTCAACAGCAGAATAACAACCATTGCAATCATAACAACAACAACAGTGGGACTGCAACCCCTCCTGCTGTAGCAAATGGAGGCACAACCATCCCGACAGTGTCAGCGACCGTAATCTACCCTCCTCCTATACCAACATCAACTGACGCTGCAGCTCTTGCCAATGGTTTGACCACGCCGCGTCAATTCATATGGCAAAACCCGGCCACACACCCATACGCATTGTACAGCAATGACAAGGTAAATATTTTGAAATTTCATATCTGGTATAGGTAGTTCTGTAAGTTATAAACAATAAGAAAATTATGTAAGTTCAGTTTTATATTTCCTCCTCTGCCATATCGGGCGGTGACTAAATTTATTTTCAACAGACTGTTACGGAAACATGCTATCAGATAAAGACTGTTGTTTCCAAGAGTTGATGGTACACCAAAATCGTATTTAGTAACACGTCAGGAAATTTGGCAAGTTGGTAACTATAGAACTGGAATCATTATCAGGTTTTTTGGTTTTCCGTATTTCCGTATCTATTTCCGTGTAAGATTCACTTTTTGCACATTTTATGATTTCTGAAATGTGGCTGCGACATACATTTAATGGCGTTTAGAAATCGATATAGCGTATTTTTTCCTGAAAGCCAACGTCAAGAATTCACCTTACAATCGATGGCCTCTTAAAATCAAGGAAGTAACGGTATTTTTGTTATGCTGCTGTCACTAATGTTTTGCTAACACTGTTACCATGTCTCTTATACAATGGACTCTTTTACTATAAAGACTATAAGTAGGTAGGATCTGATGTGATGTACTTACTGGAACATTGTCAGAATCATTAAATTCAACTTACCCGAAAAACTCTTTGTAAATCCACTTTCCCCACTGTGGGTACATTCGTTCTTTGACAGTTTTTTCCCCCTCTTCTTACTGGTGACCTATTTCTGCAACATAATGCAGCGCAACAATTTCGTACTTTGCTTCACAAATCATGTTCAGTTTAGTTGGAAGGAGGAGAACAAGCCATACCAAAGAAATTAAATCATGTGTATGTTGACATGCTCACTGATGTACATTGTGACCTGCATGTATCACTGTCTGTAGAGCAAACCAAATTAATTTTGACAGAAAAGTAGTGTCTAAGGATTATATTAATGCCCCGTAAGCCGTTTAGTTTTTAAAGATTACATTACAGAATAGTACAATTACAACACATGCAAGTGATCATAGGTATTAATTTCCTTGCACTGTGGAAAACAAAAGGAAATTCATAGTAGGACTTGAGGTTCTCACAGCAGTGAGTATGAAGATGGCTGTCATCTTAGATGTTGAGCCATGTTTGATAGACATTTACAATAGTTTCAGAGGTCCTTATCAGGGCAATGATGAAAGGGTGATTAACTGTCAGACTTATTTCTTAGTGTCAGAGAAATACCAGAAGTTTGTTTCCACCCCAAACTTACATATTAAATGAAGCGTGGCCCATGGTTATTGTCCAAAATACATTTTTATCAGGAGTCACTTAAATCTTCTCTTTTTTGAAAAAGTTTGACTGCAGGGTGTTATCTAACACTTCATAATATTTGTATATACTGAATTTAACAGGAAAGTGATATTTTATTAAATTGGATATGACCCACAAGTATGAACTTTTGCTAAACGTGTATGATTTTGTGTTTACAGGAAACACTTGTACATCCCCTCCCTTCAGAACAGCCAGGATTTTGCCGTGGATTCCGGAAGAATCTTCAAGGACGCTGGAAGCGCCTTGTAAAGAGGAAACCCATCAACGAAACATACGCTATCCCACCAGAGCTTCGTGATCAACTGAAAAACATCTATGTTTACTAACAGCTGTTCTCGCAACAGTCGTTGTGAGGGAATAAAAATGTAAATAATTGAACAGTTCCTGTTTCTTAAGTTTACATGTGCAGAGATTGAAGTACCTTGTTAAATTAAGAAAAAATATGCATTTTTAAACACACAAACACTGTAAACCAGAATACCATTGCAAGAAGCACAGCATATTCTTCAACAGACCAGTATTGTCGTTTGCTCATTGTTATGAACTTACATAAAGGCATTATGCCTATTTCAAAGTCAAAATTTTGGACGTCACATGACTAAAATGTCATTTGTATAAATTTTATATAAAATCGCATGCTCGTTTATGATATCAACATCGTCACTTGATTCAGTTACGCAAATGGACGCAGTTTGGAATTATGAGAGTTCGTAGAAATTTGACCTGTAATGATGAGATTAATGACATTTTTTGCAGTTTTTTAGGGAACAGAATTTTATTTCTGTAATTGATGTACTTTGGTTTCTCGCAAAGAGGTTTGCTGTTTGTGTGTCGACAAGCAGTCATTTGTCCCCATTCCCAGTGTCAGCTATGAACATTCGCATTTCTCCCTCAGTGCGTATTGAATTAAAATGTAAATAGCCCAGTGAAGCAGATTGTAAGCTCTTGACTAGTTGGGAATTTGTCTGGCAGGTTGACCAAACTGGAATCGGTTTGTTCTGTCGGAATTTCTCGCGGCTGGAAGCAAGCACGTGGTCAGGATAAGTGCAGATGTCTGTGATGGAATGGATGTGATATTAAATGCTGTAAAAGCGGAGCAGAAAAGTCAGGCCTATGATATTATTGTATAAATATTATAACCTTTAGTATTATTCAAAATGATAAATGCCTTCTACATATATTTTATGCTTGCTGGTAAAGAAGCAGAAAGTAGTAGCTGGTACATTGAGAATATTAAATATTTGTTTAGCTCATATTGAGCTTCTGTTAGTTTGTTATTAGTGTATTGTACAAATGAAAGCGTTGAAATATTATGTACCAGCATTAGTTTACAGATCGAAGGTAAAATCTTTTCTGTATTGCAGTAGATTTGTGCAGTGTTTGTCAGAATATTAAGTAAAAGTAAAAAGTAAATGTTCGCAATGCGGAAGATAAGCGACAGTTGGCTGTAATTTTTATGAGAATTTCTTCTATAAAATTTTAGCCACCCCAGCCAAATTTTAAATGTATTTGAAATTTAGTTTTAAATTTTTTATTTCTGATTGATCTATGAATCCTTTTTGGATAAGTTTGTGGATTTCAAAAATTATTGTTATGGATGACTACTTGTGAAGAGAAACTAAATGTGAATTGTTATTTATTATTAAAAATTTAAAAAAAAAAAAATGACGAAACTGTACTGTTAAGATCTATGTTAATAGTTTGTAAATAATTGTATGTACATATATTTCTTAGTTATTTTGTGTTTATGTTTAAGAACATGTCAGTTTCAATCATTTTAGTTGTGGAAAGTAAGTAAGATTATTGATTCAGGTACTAGTCATGGATTTATGCCAAAATATGCAGAGTTCTGGAGGCAAAGTGAAGTTACAAGAGCATTCAGTGTTGTCTGATCCCAGTTTACATAGTTTTGTCACGTTTGTTTCACCTAAAATTTTGCTGTGAAAAATGTGACAGTCCTACATTAATCTTATGTTTTGTTATTCCATAGATTTTAAAAGAAAAATGTCCATTACATAAAACCTTTGTTTTAAAATTCTCTTAACAATATCAGACATAAAGCATACAGACAATTTGGAAATGCTCTTTCTTAGCTTTTCTTTGCCTATATAGCGGACCATTCGTGACCAATTGGAGCTGCACAATTATTTAAAACACATGTATTGATGTATGATCTGAGGTTGAAGTATTTTTAATATAAAATGTTCATTTTTAAACATCATGCCAGTTTTCATTCATTTCATATCTGATCATTCCATTCTTACGGTTCTGACGTATATTTGTATCAAAATACATGCTTATTTCAGAAACTTGTAAAATAAATAAAAGTTGAATAATATCCATTATTTGTTTGCCTTCATATCCTTGGCATATCCTGATAATAAACTTTGTTATGTGTAAGGGCAAAGAGTAGAAAAGAGAGCTAAGATTATACTACCTCAGCAAATGAATTCCAACTGTCCATATATGAAGCCAGTTTGTAGAAGGTGCATTTTGGTTATAGGTTAGGTTAGGGAAGGAAGAAGATGGATATATACCCTGTTTGTCTACAGAATGTGAAGGAAGCCATGAAGGGAACAGTTTAATTTCAAACAAGGAATTCATCATTCAAAGTAAGTAAGAAATTAATATTGACAACAAGAAAAGCAGCTAATAATTTTCATATGGTTTTGTCAGTCTGCCCAACATTTAAAATTTCTTTGTATGTTTTGGTTATAGATGGTAAATATTAATTTGAAAATATTGTATTGAAACAACTTAACTGGTTATTTTGATTTCTGAATCTGGTTTATTCCCCCTGCAGAGGAAATGTTTGTTTTGAAGAAATAATTGTTAGATTACGTAACTTTGTTTTTGAATTAACATTTGTCACCGTTAACTAAAAATAGTAGAAATATCTGTCTGTATTTATATGTTACAATAATTTTATTTGCGTTAGGATGTTCAGTTAATTTCAATGGCCAAGATGTAGTGGTAGCACTGCTAATAGCCTAGTCTATATATTTTCCATGATATATAATATTGCAGATTTAGTAACTTCTATTGACTACTGCCATGTGTATTTAACTTGTAATGAGAACTTATCACAAGTCTGTTTGGCAATGTAGTTTTCTGCAATTATTCCGAACATGAAAAGTGTGTGGTGGTGTTGCTTTTTTTTATATACAAAAAGTTGAATCACGCTCTACCATTTTCTCCACCGCTCACAGCGCCGTCGTTTGAATTTTACGAAGTACCAACAATCACCGCTAGATGGCGTACTCATGTTAAGCGAATGGTGCTGCCACATGACGCGTGACGTTATTACTAGATGGACCAGTGGTTGTTAGCATGTCGCACGGTTAACAGAAAAGCTGTGTTAGTAGTGAACAGTCATCAAAATGGTCTGCAGTAGGTTAACTTTTTCATTTGTTTAGCGTCATTTTAATGGCAGAATTATGAGGGGGGAATAGGAAAAGCATCTGGTGACAACATTTTTAAATTTAAAACCAAAGTTGCGTTCACAAATGAAATTTCATGTAAATTACTCCAAATATCTGAGTACACATTTCTATTGCCTTGTTTATTATATGGGTATTATTATAAGATTTTAAGATCAAAGAACAAAAGAAACACGTAATTTAATTCGCTCGAAATCTCGGATGTAGTTAGTCAAAGGGACGCCACGTTTCATAGTTCCACCTGACTGTTATTCCTGAGGTTCCGCGTTCGAGTTTCGTTCTAGAGACAGGCCTCGTTACTGAGTTTACTCGTGGTTCGCTTCAGTCCTTACAGGCAAACAACAGCACCTTAAAGCAGGTGGGACTTTCTTCCTTGACCTTCCCACTGCATTTTCAATTCTCCCATTCGACATTCTATATCTTATAGTCTACCAAAATCGCACCAGTTCATAATATTTATCATAGTTCCACGCATTTTTGTTGTTTTAACCCTGTGAAGCATGAAGTTCATCATAATAATATTTACAAAATTTAGTTATACAAAGACAACACAATACGTCTCCATTACAAACATAAATTGATTAACGCTGTTTAGGGAAATAATCGCTGTTTATTCTGAGCATTATATGAAATATATAAATACATTCTGTGATGGATGTGACAGTAGGTGGTACTTCACAATTATTTATACGCAGCTGTGACAGTGGGCAGTGTGCTAGCTTCATTGGTGACCTTGGAAGCAGCAGCGTGGGAGTAGCTTCAACAAACGGTAAGTTATTTTTGTACTTTTGAGAGAACGTATCTAGATTATCGTTATAGTTACATTAGCAGAATTACAATGCGTATATCTGCTGGAAATGATAAATAATAATATAGTGGGAGAGACGTGGAAGGGGGGAAGACCCCGAAACACAAAGCACGAAGGAAGGTAGGCTGGAGTATATGCGTAAAACACTAATTATTTTAATGAAATTTTGTAGCCGTTCTCTGGACTCAAGGACTAAATATGCACGCTTAGAAACGCTGATATTACTATTGTATATATCTAGGGATTTCTTAAAGCATTCTGAATATTTTCGGAATCTTAGAAACTTCTAGCCGACTACTAAGAATTAGAGGTTTGTGCTATCAGTTGATTGATATCTTGTTATGAAGACTGAAAAGGGGTGGTCCGTACCTGAGTTTGAATTCAGTTTCCACGTTTGTCCTTCCTACCTTGACGCTCTGTGTTACACCAGTTGCATCGAGCAGGCGCATTGGTTATTCATTTCTTTGTCGACGGCCACATTTGCTAATTCCCAAATCATGTGACTAGCCGCATTAAATGATTGCGAGGGCCACATGCGTCTCACGAGCCTCAGGTTGTAACCCCATAGCAAGGCTTCTATATTGTGTATGATTAGCAGAATCAGCCCCGTATATAACCCACAGATTCGTTACCTTGTTTACAAGAGCCCATATCTTTATCCAGATGAATCCAGACCGAGTCCAGTCTTCATTTGTTGTAGGCGTTCTTCATCGAAAAGCGGAAGTGAAGAACACCACATGGTTCCACCATGTCCGCCTGCCAGTATTTGATTTAAACAAATGGTTCACATCGACTACAAGGGACTGGCTCTAACACGGCTTTGGTTAAACTAAGGAACGAGTCAAATACGTTCTGAAATGTAACTTTCATTTAAGTTTGTGCCTGCAGTGAAAGTAACGATTAAGATTTATTTTTCAGTTTGAGTACATGACAGTTCTAAATAATTTTCTCTAGAGATTTGAACGTAAGGCAAAACTTCGTCACTTTTCAATAACTGAAAGTACGAAAGACACACAGTCAACAGTGGCCGCTCTTCTGCTAATGACTTTCTTCAAAGTTCGGACGCAATTTCTTCGTTTCATGTCGCACAGAGCGCGGAGGAAGAATTATTGACAGCAAAGAGAGGAGCGTAGTTCCGTTTCTTGGCACCAGTCACCGTAGTTATCATTACCATCATCACCAGCCCGACGTTTCCATTTATCTTAATTTCACATTTATTATTACTCCGTCTCTCGTCTCGGCAGCGGCCATTACCTCTGCAGGAATGTGGAATGTGAGTTTTAATTAGAAATCATCCCATTTTTCGCTTCTTGGATGAAGGGAAGAGAATGTAATGGAAGATTAAAATGAGTTTGTATTGACAATGGACAGCTCCATAGATTGTGCAGCAAGTTCGTTCTTAGATTATATCTAAACCTTCAGCCCTATTTTACTTAGTTTATAGAATGGGGTATTTTTTTGCACCCGGTAAATTTATTTTGTCTAAACGTTATTAATTCCACACAATCAATCAGGAGGTGATTAAGTAATTTAATTTTAGGGTTAGAAAAAATTCGGGTATTATATAGCATTAAATTATAATGAGAGACGTTAGTGAATGGAATGTAGGCAAGAAATTGGAAGGATACGGCCGAGGCCTATTTGCAGGCATTGTCCGTGAAGATGTTGAAGAAACACACGAAAAACTATAATCACGATAGCTCGGTCGAGATTCGAAGGTGGTATTTTTAGAATTCAGATCCAGTGCGATGTGAATGCTGGGTAATAAAGTTTTGAACTCGAATTGAAAGCGTGAAGTTACGATGTGCGTAGATAAGGTAACCAGTTAAATGTGGAGTGAGGTAATTGTTTGAATTCTGTGATGGTGACCATGTATCTGGGTCTAACGCGACGATAAATCTTTATGATCTATTGGTGTAAGGAAGATTTGTTTGAAACGGGAAGGAAGTATATCATGCCCCAACGTGTAAGTGTAAAAAGAGCAGAATAGGAGAAAGAAAGAAAGAAAGAAAGAAATTAAAATGAATAACAGACGATTACGAAACAAAGCTAAGTAGAAGAAGGAAAATAAGAAGTGAAATGAAGAAGAATGGATTGAGGCTTCAGGAAATAAAGTACAGAGAAGGAAGAAAGACATAGAAAGATAATTAAATTATTATTTTACAGGCTTACTTAAATATTAGTTTACTTTACATTCTCCCATGTAAATCGAATTGAGTTTTACAGGTGAGACAATCTTTAGTATGGAATAGTATGGCTGTATGAAAGAGTATCATTATCCGAGTATGTTACAGAGGGGCTGTAGTTTGAGAAAGGATCAGACAGGAGTGGTCAAGAGTGTCGCTCAGAATGTATACGGACATGCCCTCGTGACAGCTTCTCATTGCAATCTGAGGATTCTCCCATTGTCTCTTTGTGCGAATTTTAACAGAAACAAAGGTCGTGGCAAATTCCAACAACATGGCAGACATACACGAGTTTAGGTAACATCTGCAGGGTGTTTGACATTAAGTTAAATGTGGGCCATAAATTTTATCTCTTTTCCTTGTGTGTGGGATGGTTACGATTTATCGGAGAGCGACCTGTTTTATCGATATGCAGAAATATAACATGCTGCTCGCTGTTTTATACGAATGTAAAACTTTGTCACCAGAGTCGAATGGATTTAGGGAAAATTATAACAAGGAATCTGGAACAATTTATTTAGATGTCGAACGGTAAATGACAGGATCGCAAAAAATATATAATGAGGAGCTTCATAATTTGTACTTTATCGGATATTATTAAGTGTTCAAATAAAGGAGGATGAGATGGGCGGGTCTCGTACAAAGTATGTAGGCTATAAGAAAATGTTACTAAATGTTAATCTGAAGGCAGTGAATAAAAGGATATTCTTAAAGTTATTCATTGTCAGGACTTTTTCCATCGTCTGTTCTTTAAAACCACGACGTTTCGGAGGCTGGTTCTGTCTCCGTTTTCAGGTGAGAGGTACCTACTCTGTTGGGTCCCTTAGATAGAGCTAGTCAGAGACTAAGGGACCCAATAGAGTAGGTATCGCTCACCTGAAGACGGCGACAGAACCAGCCTCCGAAAC